GAAAAGGCTGTTCCACTTATCAGCTCCCTGATTGAGTATTAAAAGAAATTGGAACAAAGCATACCAGAGTCGTTTTGGATCTGAAGCTTCAACTTCATCATCCAAGCTAAGTTTATCCTATGGATCTTTTAAGGCAGACTTCAGTAAAGATGAGGACATGATTCTATAGGGTAAGTCATATCAATTGCTATGTAATTTGTGACTCTTTCCATTTGGATGTTTTTTCTAGATGTTTTTCTACGCAAATGTTGATGTTTTAGATATTTTTTGACTCGGTTTTGGATGTTTTTTGTCAAAGAAAAGTGGCAACACTGGTCATAATGTGAGATAGCGAGGACTTGGAAACTTGGTAACAACCGGCAAGAAGGATGGAAAGTGAGCAAGGGGAAGGCAAAGAGCTGAATGCGTAGATGGCTTGGCCAGACGAATGGGGCAAACAAGAACACTGACCTGATACGTGATTCTGATGATCGTGTGAGATGGCGAGGCACATGATGGTGATGGGTAAAGGACCCCTTTCATACCAGTGGCGTATTAGACATGCTGTTAGGCTGATACTGTTTTAGACCAATCAGAAGTGTATAGTGCTATTAGTGCCGGATTAACCTTTAAGCACACAAAGGACGTGCTAAGGACAGCACAAAGAAGCGGGGGCATTACACACATTTTCATTAGCCTTAGAGCTTTTATTTTCTTAACTGAAGTACTTTTTGAAGCCCATCAGAACAGCAATGCCACAAGAAGGGCAGGATACCTTATCTCTATAAAGTATAAAAGTAGATGTGTCACATCAATTAAGTTTTGGGCCTCTGATCAGAAACTTTGCACTTTGCTTTTTTTTTTCAAGTATTTCAAAATTTTTCAAATGTAAATAAAGTGGAAGGTTTTTTTTAATGTTTATATTTTGAACTGGAAGCCGCCGTGGTCTAGTGACTAGATCCTCGCCTGCGGATCGGAAGGTCGTGGGTTCGGTTCCTGATGGGTGAGATTAGTGATTTTTGTGTATCTATGTAGTATTGTTTATTTTGTGTGTGCTGATGAAGGCTCAATAGCCGCAACGTTCACGTTTTGTTTGTATTTCTTATATTGTGAAGCTTGCTAATATACTTTTCGTTCGGGTTTATATCTTATCGGTTCCTGATGGGAGAAGTCCTGGGAATTTAAGACGGCCGGAGTGACGCTTACCACATCACTGACCAAGTGTCGTTTGGTCTATAAAATATAGGTCTAGCCCTATATACTCAATACACCTGAAAGGCCTGGAAAAGGGTCCTTTACTTACTTTTATATTTTGAACTACATATATGTGAGAGCGTGGTATCAAGAAAGCCGACCGTCCAGAGAGCAATGGCAAACTACTGGACGTAAATTTGCCTAGAAAAACCACACATCAGCCAGGGGCTGTTGAGGTTGGTTCTGCAACGTACTATAAAGGATACGCAACTAACCTTTATGTGAGAGCATCAGTGTCGTATTAAAACACGGGCCAGCTGGTCACTTTCCCGGGGCACCGTGAACATAAACGGCTGGGGGAAGGGTTGGGGGGGGGGGCACCCCAATCTTTGGAGTACTCGGGGCTTCATAGGGTCTTAAATAGACCTTGTTGTTGTGTTTTGTTACCACAATCGACGTCGCTTTACACTGGGCATTCTCATGCGTGCTCAGTCCTCGGATGCAGCAGCCCCTTCAAGGTACATCTACTAACTGTTCCTATAAGGAGTTGCTTTTAATGTCTCCTATCTCGGTCATGAATTCGGCGTAGACGTGCATCAACATGCTTTACTCCTAAGTCACGCAGTCATATAAGTGGCAGGCTTTCCTGGCGAGATACTAGCCAGCCATCACACCCGCCGCGTTTGCTTTCCATGCCGATAACTTGAGCCCTGGAAGTCATATTAAAAGTTAGGCTGCATGTCCTTTTTTCGGGAGGTCGTCAACCAGTCCGAGCATCTTCTGGCAGTTTGTGGCTCTGTCACGAGACGACCTCAGTGGTTCCAGAAGTTAGTACTCGTAATAAGTTCTTCTGGTTATTGATACTATAAACCAAATTGATTTAAATGTTTCCAGTCCTTAGTCCAGACAAAGCGACCCAACCTTGGGTAATATTACCTAAAACTTTACACTGTAGCTAAGAATTCTATTCTCATGTGTCAGTGTCAGAATGTTATCTCCTGACCACAGACTGTAGAGGCCAGCGAACGGGGAACTTGTATCACACCTGAGATTAGCTTCCCTGAGCTGGACCGTAGGCCGTAAAGGTTACCTAACACAGACGTTGTGGCGACGAGAGGGTGAAGTTTAACACGTCAGTGAAATTCTCGGGAGAACAGGTGTTTGCCAATTAGGAATGTTTGATCTTGGTCAAGTAGGAAACACATTGGCTTCACTGACCGTCTTTTAACACCTGCCAGTTAGATTCGTTGTAAACTAGATTGGGTCACTTAAGAATGTTCGCTCTAGGGATGTCAGTCCAGAATTGACTGACAGGCCACTTAGCTAATTTTATCTGATAGGTACTTCAGAGGCGTGGCTTAAGTCATCTTGAGGGTTGGGTAGAACCAAGTAAAGGGAGGAGTTTAATTTGGACAATAGATTGATACTTATACTGCGAGCATTGTAGATTTACCTCATAGTGCCGCCAGCAGGCAACAGACTCAGACCTACCATAGAAAAGTATTTTCTCACTGGTTGAGTCGTGTTTGGCATTTGCTGGAAAGTTCCCAGGTATGAGAAAATATTAATTTTAATCTTGTATATATAGGTTAGGAAGTTAAGCTTAATCTATACTACCTTTTCCTAATTTGTCTGCACATTCTGCTTGAAATAGTTCTTTGTGAGTATTCAGTATCTCAGTTAGGGAACTGCTAAACTATTCCTATTTCTTGTATGTTTGTGTCACATGTTTTTCAGTGTATGTTTTCATGTGTATAAAATAGGATGTAAACAATGACATTTGATATAATGAAATGTAATTATATTGTTTCCACCATCAACCAAAATATGAGTTTGGACTGTGGGAAATGATGCCCAAATATGTGCAGGGATGCTGTTACGTTTGCGTGCCCACCATGTGCTCACTTAATGTGTTCACCTAAACAGGGGATTTATAACCCCAGGGGAAGAATGATGGGTGTATAGAATTCACGGTCACTGAAAGATAATATTCAGGACAGCGTGCACATATAAACTGTTTGCATGTTCAGCACATAACCTGCGCCACATGTTTATGTCAAATCAATGTCAGCCAATTCTAAGTCTGAGTGATGACGGACAACAGACTTAGAAAGTCAACTATCATGACATAGCATGAGAGGGAAGGCAGGATATGTGACGTCCATGTAAGACAAAAGACCTTCAGACTAGACTGGAGAGGATGTGGAATATGAGGAGGAGTGATGGGATATATTTTATTATTATATGTTACAATAATTAATACATGTATTCTTAGTGTAAGTCAAGATACTACACGTATGTGTTTTGTTTCCATGATTACAGCGCCCATGTGACGATCAGTCCATGAAGGAGACTACATTGTGTTAGACTCGGCCAGCTGGGAACGAGGGGGAGAACGAGCAGGGACCGAGGTGGAGGACCAGGAGAACTGGGAGGAAAAGGTGGAAGAACTTGACAGTACCCATGGCTGTCAGAGGTTCTATGATAATAAATTTAAGTCTCATGTTTTATGGATGTAAACCTATCACCACCATTATCCATTCACTCTAATCTTAGGTGCTCAGTTATCTTGCTGAAGCCTCTCATTATCACCATACCATCACTGTCTATTATAACAATAATGATGACTAATGTCATACTCAGATTGCTAGGTTAATAAATCAAATATATGGTCTTATCCTGCATCAGTTTTTGTAATTCCAAATGTGTCTGTTCTTACACGTTTAACTAAACTGTTAAGATAGAATACCATTTGGTGGAGTCTCAAATAATATGATAATAATTCTTTAATTATTCATAATAACACCGGGAGGAGGTAGAAGACGGAGGAATCATTTGTCCTGTCTAATAATTCATTAAATATAATGGTAGACATCTAAAATTCCTTTCCTTTTCTTGTGGGTACCAAGTGCAGCTAATGTTAATGTACTTAACGAGCCAATATGGCTGTTTTCTTGGATATCCAGGACTTTGTCTGAGAGCAACATAGCTCAGATTTTAGTTCGGTTAATCTGGAGGAGGGAATGTGTTGAAAAATCCCTACTCAACATTATAAACATTTAATCCACCTCGTCACGTCACAGGCTCTACTAGGTCATTAGGTCATTTTACCTTCAGTATTTGTCACTGCAACTGCAGAGCGGCTGGTTGAATGGTTGAGAGGCCTTAGCTCTCAAACAGAACAGCCACTTTCGAATCCTCAGTAAAGTTGTGCAGGTCGTCTCTCTGTCGGGGACATACACACAATTTCTAACCTGCTCAGTCGGTGGCGATAGCACTAGCCATGCAGCCTAACGCCTTACATTGTCGAATTCAAAGAACACCGCTACCCCCCCCCCCCACCCCCCTCCCCTATTTCTACACCGCATAATTGGTAAATACGGGCAGTGTGTTCACTTTGTTGTTGTTTTTGTTGCTGTTATTGTTAATTTTGTTGTTATTCGCCTTCTACAATTGCTTTGCACCGGGTTTTATCTTTTATATTCTCTTCTACTTGTCGGGAGCGACGCGCACAGCACAAGGTCCGAAGCTCCAGCGATGATTCCTGTGCACCTCTGCTGAAATTACACTGATAAGCGGAACAACTCAGTCCGTTAAAAGCATCTTATGCATGATCATCGGAGTGCTGGGCAAACTGCTCAACCATTGACCCCCCCCCCCCCCCCCCCCCCCCCCCCACCCCCCACACCACCTAAGATGTAATTTATAAACAAAACGATCGGTGACTGAAAAGGAGCGAACAGAAAATATGCTGCTAGGCATAAAGACAATTGATGATGATGATGATTTCTAGAAGTTTCACAACCATTTTCTAATGCAGTACTCACCCATCTCATCAATGTCCTTGCTCATATTGAGGGAAATCCCGATGAGAATAATACTGAATAGCACCAACAAAAACGTGACCACTCCAACGGCCCGGACCACTCGCTTCCGATGTATGGTGGCTGGGTCAAGCAGCAGCGTGTGTCCGTTCGCCACTAGGTGGTGGAAAAATACAACAATATAAAAAACAAATATGATATTAGCAATGCTAACAAAAGAAAAAAAGATTACGGCTCTCCTTTGAATCAACCCCCAAAATGGCGGCTTTAATATGATGGCGTTCGAAAGAGAGCTAAATTGGCCAATTTCTTGCCATAGAATATCCAAAAATATCCGAATTTGGGTCAGTTCTATTAAAATTATGTATGCAGGCTCCGGATAACGAAACAAATGCTCTGACAGGGTCTCGGCGATACGTTACTTGCCGACCTGCTTCTGCGAGTGTGCCTCACCGCCGAGTGTATTCCCCGCGCCGCGCGTAGTGGCGCGGATGGGGACTAAACTAGATGGCTGGGACTCCGCATCTCCTGCAAATTCTTCCAATTACTGTACTCGTGAGTCCCAGACACCTAGTTTAGCCCCCCATCCGCGCCGCGCTTAGCGGCGCGGGGGATACACTCGGCGATGAGTTTAATCGCGTTTGGCGCATGCAGACAAGTCTGAGATCTACCGCTGCTAAATCCTCAAATCGGAAGAACACAGTATTGCTAATCGGCTTTCATCGTCTGTAATGTCTCGAAATTGGTCAACGGTCGCTAATATCGTCTGCTAGTATCGTCTGCAGAAACGCTCGGCATTTATCGTCTGCTACTACCGTGTGCAAACGTTGATATTGATTTGTTCCTTGGCAGAAAGTCCGTATTTTAGATATACGCGAACACCGTAGTTCGGATATTTTTGGATATTTTATGACCAGAATGTGGCACGCCGCCATTTTGGGGGTTGATTCAAAGGAGAGGCAAGATTACTATTGCTTCCTGGATGCTATCCTTCTATTCGAATGTTAGGTTCGTTGCGTATCCTTTACAGGACGTTGCAGAACCAGCCCCCAACAGCCCCAGGCTGGTGTGTGGTTTTCCTTAACAAATTTATGTCCAGTAGTTTGCCATTGTTTTCTGGACGGCGAGCTCCCTGATACCTCAGTCGAAATCAATGCATGCCGCATGGCCCGCAGCTGGGATCGAACCGGTACCCCGGCATTACACAGCGTTCGCATCGACTTGGCCACAGAGCCGACCTATTCGAATGTAGTAAGGTTAAAATCGTAGGCAAAGGACACTTTCCCACGCCTTCAGGTGTGTCGTACATTTAGGGGTAAACCGAGACCAGATCCAGCTGAGGGGCCATGCTGCTGACGTCACCTGACCGGGCTAACGATACGTTTAGGACAGGTTAATCTTCCAAATTGAATTTGATTTTATCTGCTGGAAACAATGCTTTATATAGGTACATATTAGTTTAAGACTAAAGGAAAATTAATTTGTGCAGCTAACGTCAACTCACAGTACAAAGTGATTGAAAATTGTATATATTATGCAGAAAAAAAGCTATATATATATGTATAGTAAAGTAAAAGTAAAGATCCCTTTTCGCGCCTTTAGACACATCGGGCATATGGGAAGAGCAGCCATAATTTTACAGACCAAACGGCACTGTATGGGTTATTTGGTCAACATTGCGCCGACAGTCTTTACTTCCCCAGGACACACATTCTGGTACCCACTTTAGGCGGGGTCGACTTGCGATTCCATGATTAAAACCCACACAGCCAGCAGCGCCTAAGCCAAGGACGACGCATGTATGTATACACGCACGCACACACACACACGCACACACACACAAGCACTGCGAACGCGCTTTGTAATGCCAGGCTGCCGATCATAGCTGCAAGTGATTTGGCAGCAGACCGTCTTAGTTGATTTCGACAGTGTATATCGAGAGTCGACAGTTGAGTCAGCAATGGCAAACTACTAAACGTAAATTGTGGCCGGTGTTGGTTCTGCAATGTCCTGTAAAGGATAGTAAACTAATTACCCAGCTAACTACACACACATATATATACACACACACATATATATATACACACACATATATACACACTCACACATATATATAAATATCTTTGTCGACGTCATTATCCTCATAAGTTCTTCTTCTTCTTCTTCTTCTTCTTCTTCTTCTTCTTCTTCTTCTTCTTCTTCTTCTTCTTCTTCTTCTTCTTCTTCTTCTTCTTCTTCTTCTGTTTCTTCTTCTTCTCATTCTCCTCCTCCTCCTCCTGGTTCTTCCTTTTCCTTATTTCTCGTTCTCCTTCTGCTTCTTCTTCTGTTTCTTCTTCTTCTTCTTCTTCTTCTTCTTCTTCTTCTTCTTCTTCTTCTTCTTCTTCTTCTTCTTCTTCTTCTTCTTCTTCTTCTTCTTCTTCTTCTTCTTTTCCTTCTTCTTCTTCTTCTTCTTCTTTTTCTTCTTCTTCTTCTTCTTCTTCTTCTTCTTCTTCTTCTTCTTCTTCTTCTTCTTCTTCTTCTTCTTCTTCTTCTTCTTCTTCTTCTTCTTCTTCTTCTTCTTCTTCTTCTTCTTCTTGTCTTCTTCTATTAGTACTTTATCATCATCATCACCACAACCGCATTCTGTTCGTCAACGAAAACAAATAGTAACAAAAATGCTCAGCTCTGGTTATCACACCATGAATACATGGTAATACTGTATCGGATGGAATATGTCTCACAAATGAACATGATGATGATGATGATGACACATGTAAATTACAGAGGTGTTGCTACACTTTTTAAGTGCGCTTGCACCAAAGGTTCGCAGGAAAATAGTGTTTGATACAATGGTTGAGATTTACAGGAAGACATAATCACATGCTCAGCATGGCATGGGCCTGAGAAAACTAAGAAAAATGTTTGCGATTGTATGTTGGTGGGGTGATGGAGCTGAATACTCACATTTTAATGGCGCCAGCTCGTCACGTTTTGGAATGTGTTCATGGTCCGGCTCCACGTGGCAAGACAGAATTTCGATGGCGTCATTTTGTATTGTCGTCATAGTAACCTCATTGACGTCATAGCTGCTGGACTCGAACTCAAACTCGCTCAGCAAAGGGTATGATAGCGATCTTTGGAGACTGTAACACAGCTCATTCTCGTTCAGCAAATCGGAGAGCAGACTGCAGTCAGGTGACAGTTCTGGACAGCTCTTATTGGCTGAGAAGTCTAACAAGGATTGCATGAGGGGTCACGTGCGGTCATTGAGTGCATTCGCCATTTTTACTAATAACGATCAGTAGAAATGGCCCCAGTTCTTCATAAATAATGTAATTAAACATAATTTTAAGGTACGTCGCAAGTGAACTACATTTCTCCCCCCTTAATATGCCATAATTTTGTAATTTATAATATGTGTTTTATGATAGTTTTTGATTGCTAAGTCGAGTCGTATTTTTTATTGCGTTCGGACAACAAAGTTCACTCAGTTGATGAGCTTTAAAACTATATTAGATTGCTAAGTCCTGTCGTAATTTTTTTTGCCTATGGACAAAAAAGGTTTACTCAGTTCACTAACTTTAAAACGGGATTTAATCAGACAATCATGCAATATACACTTTACTCGAAACATGAATCTTGTTCAATTAATAAATTAGATGTCTGTTTCATTGATTATAACTTGTAGATACATTTATTTGCATAGGACGTCAGGTTGGTTTCTAGTGGGGTATCGATACACGAATATTCACACAAACTGTTAGTGTGAGTATTCTGCTATGGTAATATTCGTTGTATAAACTCGCCAAGTAAAGTATTCAAATAAAAACATAATAGTTACAGCCTGAGATATATTCATAGATTGCCCAGTGTTAGCTTTCACGAAAATATTTTAACTTCTTTGTTTTCATGTTTACAATGGCTCCATTAGAAATATAACCTAAACAAAAATATCAACACAAGAATGAACGTTAGAACAAATGTGGTCAGTGGAAACGCTGTTTATCCACATCCAGAATAGACGTTGTTGGCAGCCTAAAACGTGACTTTGGCTATCAGATAAGTAAAAATATCCGCCATTTAAGCTTTCGAAGAATCTGGAAACCGTTTCTGTTTTGAGAGTATACAGTATGGCGGCTGTACGAATGGACACGACCACTGTGACTGGAGACTGGCGTTTTAGTAGTTATTAAATCTGAAGTATTAAAACAAGGCCAACAATATAGCAGTTCTCTTCGTCATTCAATCAATATGCTAGTAAATCTAGCTGCGACTCGCTGCAGCCCACGACCGGTGTTCGTAACAGTACGGTTCCTTGGGTTCCCCAAGCCTCTAGGTAATGGGCACCAGAGTTAACCCTCTGGGGTTAAAGGAGGAACGTCGTTGTAGCTAGGGAGTTGTGTGCGGACAGCGACACAGGCGAACAGTTTCTTATTAGCTATCCGTACCGGTGGTAGAGCACTAATGGTTTATAACCGTGTGCAATGACGCTGGTTCACATCTCCCGACTTTACCTTTTAGATTGGTCACCAGTTGTAGCAAGCAGATAATGAAAGTAGACACGACCAACTTCTCAGACGTCTTGTTGTTTAAAGCACAAGTATTTGCTTCTAAAGATTACACTGCACGTTGTCATCAGTTTAAGTCGTTAAAACGATGAATTATGTTTAGGAATTAATTTACTAGAAGTTTGATAATGATACAAATGTAAGAATCACAATGATGCCAACAGAATATCGGTAACATTTGTTTATAATTTAGTTATGTTTATGTCAAGCATTAAAGTGCTTGCTAAACGAAAAAAAGCAATAAGGTAGTACACACTAGGCAAAAATTAACAGAAACCTTGCACTAACAGCATTACGGTCATCAAAGTTAAAATTTCAGTAGTTTAATTTCTTTTGATTATGCTTGGAAATAAACATTCAAGTACCTGGCAAACGCATTCGTTTCCCTTTGGCATGTATAAAGTGCAGTCTGGCCCAGATGAAAAGAACCTCATCAAGAATGCTGGGACGATGTGCTGGTAAACATCTACACAGGGCCACGGGCGTCCAC